GTATGGTTCTAGATAGAACCTTTTTGAAAAGGGTTCTATATAGTACCAAAGAGGGTTCTTCTGTTGTTACAAGCTTGACAGTGTAACAATAGCAGAACCCTTTTTGGTGCTCTATTGAACCATATAGAACACATTCTCCATCAATCTGAAGAACGATTTCACCACGCTAAGAGCTCTTTAAGCAAGGTTCTTTGAGTGTTCCTGGTTCTATATAGGACCCTTGTGTTCACTGAAGAACCCCTGAAGAACCGTCTTTTTAAGAGTGTTCTTGGTAAGTTGTGTGTAATACCCTGCATGGCCTGTGTTGAGTGTGTTTGCATGTGTCTTGACTTTCTGTTTGTCGTTTTTCTGTCTTTCCTGGGAATTTTCTTTTTTTCGCTTTGGCCGTTTTTTAAATCAGTCTGTGATCGGTTTGTTTTTTTCAGGTCAGTGTTTGACTGACCGGCAGGTTTGTGTTCCCCTTGGTACAGTCTCGGAGCGTTTTCCAGAAAAAATCCACAATTCTCTGAAAGTTCCCCTTAGACTCTGGAACTATTGATCATATTGATCTTTCTTTAAATCTGTACTCTGTATGGGTGTTCCCTGCATTTTAACACAGAGAGAGAGAGAGAGAGAGAGAGAGAGAGAGAGAGAGAGAGAGAGAGAGAGAGAGAGAGAGAGAGAGCAGGAGAGAGAGGAGAGAGAGAGAGAGAGAAAGAGAAAGAGAGAGAGAGTTTGTGTAGACGAGAGATAATTCAAGAAAAAAGAAACTTGTTTTGCTCTGTTGTCAGTTCCAAGAAACACAGGCTGTTTATGCTGTAAGAAGTGGGCGGGGGGGCATGTCCACCCAACTTTTTATTTTTTTAATCTGCTTTTACTCCTCCCCACTTTAAATGCGATGTGGAGATTCCTTTAAACAGTCTGGAATGATAGAAGTAGAATTATAACACGGGCTGAGTGATAAACAAGCGTCTGAAGTACTACAGCAGTGATACATGGAGCAGTGGAGTCCACCCGTTTCCATGGTTACACTACACTTTTTCCATGTCTACTCTGCTACCGTTTCCATGGTTACTCTACACCAGTGGTCTCCAGCCCTGGTCCTAGAGAGCTACTTTCCTGCAGAGTTTAGTTCCAACCAGCACTGCTGCCCCTCCCTTACCTATCAGTGATACATCTGATCCAGCCAATCAGGAGCTTCTGTAATAGTTAATTAGCTGGAGCAGGTGGGGCAGATTGTGGTTTGATCTAAGCACTACAGGATTGTACCTCTTTAGGACCAGGGTTGGAGACCACTGCTCTACACCTGTTTCCATGGTTACCCTACACCCATTTCCATTGTTACCCTTACACCCATTATCATGGTTACGCCCTACGCCCATTCTCATTGGTATGATTAGTTCACATTTCTATGGTTACACTACACCCGTTTCCATGGTTACCCTACACTCATTTCCATGGTTACCCTACACTCATTTCCATAGTTACCGTACACCCATTTCCATGGTTACCCTACACTCATCCTCATTGGAATATTAGTTATTTCTATGGTTACACTACACCCGTTTCCATGGTTACCCTACACTCATTTCCATGGTTACCCTACACTCATCCTCATTGGAATATTAGTTATTTCTATGGTTACACTACACCCGTTTCCATGGTTACCCTATACTCATTTCCATGGTTACCCCACACTCATTCTCATTGGAATATTAGTTATTTCTATGGTTACACTACACCCGTTTCCATGGTTACCCTATACTCATTTCCATGGTTACCCTACACTCATTCTCATTGGAATATTAGTTATTTCTATGGTTACACTACACCCGTTTCCATGGCTATGCTAGTGACAGGTTCTGATTAGACCCCCCAAGAGGCAGAGACATTTATGTAAAATATCTGAAACTACGGATCAGAAGAGGAAGAAAGGAGATGGCAGTGATTTAGAGAGAGGACAGTCCAGTAATGTTACAGTAACTGTGAGTTACCAGATAAACAGGAAGGGGCTTAGCTGACGTTGGGTGGTGCTGGTTTTGGATGCTGTTTCTTTACTGTGTAAGGACAGTCCAGTTTATCCTTGTGCTGAAGAGTCTGAATACGTAACTGCCCCCCCACCCCGCCCCAAACTTGCGGAGCCGAATTCCACTGGAGGTCGTGTTTTTAAACACCCCAAACTTGGCCAGAGTGCAGAAATGCTAAGCTAAGCCTTTGGCCCTGCTGAGGGTCGGTCAGTAGAAACTTCTCTCCCTGAATAAACACTGCGGTGCCCTGATCCCTCTTCGGTTCTGCGTGTGTTTGTCTGGCATGGCTTTATATTTATCACTTCATTTATTCTGTTCTGTGACACCACTGTGATGTGCAGTTCCAGTCAAAAGTGTGGACACACATATCCAGGATTTTTTCCACAATTTTTCCCATTTTTAGAAGTGAAGACATCACAGCTAGCCAAATTTAGACCCCACCCACCCTGATTGGCCGTAATGCTTTGACGTGGACACACATTCCACCAGTTAACTCCTAACGAGACACACTGAAGTATTAGGATGGTGTCATCATGATCCTCTTCATTTCTGTAAACCTCTAAAAGAAAACAGCCTTTTATAAAAAGGTTGTTGTGGAGATAAATTCACACACAGCCGTGAGCGTCACTGTTTATATTTGGGTCCAAACTTTGGGCTGGTGCTGCAGTACACAGAGTTCTTCTGCTGTATAAACCTGCAGCGTTTCCATGGCAACCCATCTGATCTTCCTCATCTGTTCTGGAGTTTGTTGCACATCCTCACCCTACACCTCCTCCTGCACTGAGTGCACTCTCTCTCTCTCTCTCTTCAAAACACATTTTCAATCTCTCTCTCTCGCTCTCTGTCTCTTTCTTACTTTCTCACCTTTTCTTTCTTTCTGTCTCTCTCTGTCTCTCTCTCTCTCTCTCTCTCTCTCTCTCTCTCTGTCTCTGTCTCTCTCTCTCTCATTATTTTGCTCCCCCCAGTTTGCAGGAGGCTCTGAGCCAGGCGTCTCAGGCGTCTGTGTCAGGGGTCAGAGGTCATCCGTCCCGCACGCCGTCCCAGGTGACTGTTCTGAGCGCTAGCGCCTCCCTGCTGGTCAGGAACGGAAGTGTGCAGCTCGAGGGCTCTCAGGATAAAGCCTCCACAGTTGGCGTGGCCAGCCTGCAGGAAGACTTCGGTACGCAGCACGAGGAACCTCACAGTACACACTCCGTCTGCACAATACACTTTTGTGCTCTATCTGCGTATTTTTACACTTTGTCTGCACGTTTTTCACTACGTCTGCATACTTTTACACTCCATCTACACAATACAAGCTCCGTCTGCATGCCTTTACACTCCGCCTGCTCAATACAAGCTCTGTCTGCATTCCTTTACACTTCGTCTGCACAATCCAAGCTCAGTCTTCATGCCTTTACACCGTCTGCTCAATACAAGCTCCGTCTGCATGTCTTTACACTCCGTCTGCTCAATACAAGCTCCGTCTGCATGCCTTTACACACCGTCTGCACAATACAAGCTCCGTCTGCATGCCTTTACACTCCGTCTGCTCAATACAAGCTCCGTCTTCATGCCTTTACACTCCGTCTGCTCAATACAAGCTCCGTCTGCATGTCTTTACACACCGTCTGCACAATACAAGCTCCGTCTGCATGCCTTTACACTCCGTCTGCACAATACAAGCTCCGTCTGCATGCCTTTACACACCGTCTGCACAATACAAGCTCCGTCTGCATGCCTTTACACTCCGTCTGCACAATACAAGCTCCGTCTGCATGCCTTTACACTCCGTCTGCACAATACAAGCTCCGTCTGCATGCCTTTACACTCCGTCTGCACAATACAAGCTCCGTCTGCATGCCTTTACACTCCGTCTGCACAATACAAGCTCCGTCTGCATGCCTTTACACTCCGTCTGCACAATACAAGCTCCGTGTGCAGGCCTTTACACTCCGTCTGCTCAATACAAGCTCCGTCTTCATGCCTTTACACTCCGTCTGCACAATACAAGCTCCGTCTGCAGGCCTTTACACTCCGTCTGCACAATACAAGCTCCGTCTGCATGCCTTTACACTCCGTCTGCACAATACAAGCTCCGTCTGCATGCCTTTACACTCCGTCTGCACAATACAAGCTCCGTCTGCAGGCCTTTACACTCCGTCTGCACAATACAAGCTCCGTCTGCAGGCCTTTACACTCCGTCTGCTCAATACAAGCTCCGTCTGCATGCCTTTACACTCCGTCTGCACAATACAAGCTCCGTCTGCATGCCTTTACACTCCGTCTGCACAATACAAGCTCCGTCTGCATGCCTTTACACTCTGTCTGCACAATACAAGCTCCGTCTGCATGCCTTTACACTCTGTCTGCACAATACAAGCTCCGTCTGCATGCCTTTACACTCCGTCTGCTCAATACAAGCTCCGTCTGCATGCCTTTACACTCCGTCTGCACAATACAAGCTCCGTCTGCATGCCTTACACTCCGTCTGCACAATACAAGCTCCGTCTGCATGCCTTTACACTCCGTCTGCACAATACAAGCTCCGTCTGCATGCCTTTACACTCCGTCTGCACAATACAAGCTCCGTCTGCATGCCTTTACACAATTTGTAAATTTGCACAATACACACTGAGTGCTCTTCAGTCTGCTGCACTCACCAGCTGTTTATTTAATTATTCATTCATTCGTTCATTCATTTATACGTCACAATGCACGTTACTAAAGTGTAGTCTCCGAGTTAGCCGACCGGCTAACCTTACCCGCAGTCTCCGGTTGCGAGCTCTGCAGTCTCGAGTTAGCCGACCGGCTAACCCTTCACCCGCAGTCGAGTTGCGACGCTACCCTCACCGCGGTCCCGAGTAGCCGACGCTAACCCTTTCACCCGCAGTCGGCTGCCGACGATCGTGAGCACCGACCGGCTAACCCTTCACCCGAGTTTCGAGTAGCCGACCGGCTAACCCTTCACCCGCAGTTTCCGAGTTAGCCGACGGCTAACCCTTACCCGCAGTTTCGAGTTGCCGACGGCAACCCTCCCCGTTCCGAGTTAGCCGACCGGCTAACCTTTCAGCTGTAGTCTCTGAGCTAGCTGACCGGCTAACCTTTCACCCGCAGTCTCCGAGTTAGCCGACCGGCTAACCTTTCACCCGCAGTCTCCGAGTTAGCCGACCGGCTAACCTTTCACCCGCAGTCTCCGAGCTAGCCGACCGGCTGACCTTTCACCCGCAGTCTCCGAGCTAGCCGACCGGCTGACCTTTCAGCCGTAGTCTCCGAGCTAGCCGACCGGCTGACCTTTCAGCCGTAGTCTCCGAGTTAGCCGACCGGCTGACCTTTCACCCGCAGTCTCCGAGCTAGCCGACCGGCTGACCTTTCAGCCGTAGTCTCCGAGCTAGCCGACCGGCTGACCTTTCAGCCGTAGTCTCCGAGTTAGCCGACCGGCTGACCTTTCACCCTCAGTCTCCGAGCTAGCCGACCGGCTGACCTTTCACCCGCAGTCTCCGAGCTAGCCGACCGGCTGACCTTTCACCCGCAGTCTCCGAGCTAGCCGACCGGCTGACCTTTCAGCCGTAGTCTCTGAGCTAGCCGACCGGCTGACCTTTCAGCCGTAGTCTCTGAGCTAGCCGACCGGCTGACCTTTCAGCCATAGTCTCCGAGCTAGCCGACCGGCTGACCTTTCACCCGTCGTCTCGGTGAGTTCCAGGCTGGCGGTAGGCTTGTTTTCAGTTGAGTTACTTTGGCGTATTAAACCCATTAATCACTGATCAAACCTCTCTTGTGCTCCTCGTGTTGATCATTGTGCGCCTGCTGTTCTCTGTCTGGTGATGGTGCTTCTGGTTTTCGTCGGTGGTGCTGATGGGAGCCTTTTCTTTGTTTGAGCTTGTCTCCATTTGTGATTGATGTTCGTTTGGTGATTTCTCGGTGTGTCACATGCTGAGAGGCCTCTTGCTGCTCTTGACTGCTTTGTGGACACGTTGGAAACGTCTGAATGTGGCTCATGAAGCGATAAATGTGCACCAGGCTTTGGTGAGAAGAGTTTGGTGATTTACGCGGTTTCCCCTCCTTACCCAAAATGTAGCTGAGACATGTTTGGAATTTCAAGTTTGCTTCTTTAGTTTTAGCATTAGAGGCTAACATAGCTAACAAGGACCAGAAGCTAAAGTGCACTAGCTAGGAGGCCTAAATCATCATCATCACTCCTCTCAGACTGTGTGGAGCTGTTCAGCATCTCTGACAGACCTGGTTCTGTGGTTTCTGACTCTGTGTGGCTCTCTGTTCTCTATAAACATGGACTGAAGTACGTTAGCATCACTTCATCAAACGTGACCAGCTACACGTTTTGAAGAAAGATGGGAAATCAGGTTTGTTTATTAAACAAATCGTGGTTGATGGTTGTCTGATGAGTAAAAGGCATTGCAGTGTTGGATGGAGGTTTAAGGGGTTTTAATAAGCAGGTAAACTGCGCAGTCATTTACCTCCATGTGCTGAACCGTTACAGACGGTCTCCTGCTCTGTTGTGTGTTGTAGGGAAGCTCACCCCTCCTCTGTACGAGGTCGGAGGATGCGACATGTCTCTTGTTAACTTTGAGCCGGCGACCAGACGAGCCTCCAACAATATCTGGTGAGTTTACAAAGATATAAAGGAACCGTATACATTAGAACATAAATAACACATGACTGATGAAATGTGAAAATATCAGTGTTTATGTATATTTTGTGATGTTATTTAAAGGTGCCACATAAAACATATGAAGTAAATTATACATATGATTAGGCATACAATTACACCAGTAAGGAACCCTCAGGGCCTTCAAGGCCTTTAGAGAAGCTTCAATAATGTCTGTGAACTAATACATAAAATAATACAATAATATATACAACTACTATATATATGTAATTAAATTTTAGTATGTTTTTATTTAAATGTATCATCACACTTGTATTTAAACACTGTAAGCATTGTAGTAATAACACTTGTTTTAGTGTTAAGTTTAAGTTAGAAATAAATTAGTTAAAATTTTAAAACGGCCCAAATGGTCCAATCAGGATTGTTCTCTCTGTGGTATCTAGGCAGATACAGCCAAGCTGCTCTCTCATTGGTTGAGACTTCAGGAGCTGGGCTGAAGGCCTTACATGTTAGATTAACGACTAACATAATTTGGAAGTGACTGATGAACCAACCAATCACAAAAATGTCACTCTAGCTCTTGTGGAGGTTCTAGATACGTCACTGAATGTGAATATGAGCCGTAGTCTAAGCGGGTTTTGGTTAATTGTTAGTATCAAATTAATAAAGCATGTATAGAATGCGTATTACAAGCTTTAATTCTCGGTGCTTAATCTACAACGGCCAAAAACGTTAATGTGCACCAGCGTTAGTTTAGGGCTAACATACCACTAGAAACCCCACAGTGGCGCAAGCAGGAATTAGCCTTATGAAAGGCTCATGTTTTTCTTGTGTTTTGACCGTTATATTTCCTCTGTCTTTCATTCTTTGTAGGGACACAGATTCTCACCTCTCTAGTTCTACCTCAGTTCGCTTCTACCCTCATGACTTGGTGAGTGCCATGATCACACTTTTACACACACATACACACACACACACACTTTTACACACACACACACACACACACACACATATATATATATATATATATATATATATACTATATATATATATAATGTGTGTATATATATATATATATATATATATATAACACACACACACACACACACACAGACACAACTGCTGTAACGGTGTTGGATGATGCTGTGACAGTGTTGGATGAGGCTGTGACAGTGTTGGATGAGGCTGTGACAGTGTTGGATGAGGCTGTGACAGTGTTGTATGGTGTTGGATAGTGTTGTAACAGTGTTGTGACAGTGTTGGATGAGGCTGTGACAGTGTTGGATGAGGCTGTGACAGTGTTGGATGAGGCTGTGACAGTGTTGGAAGGTGCTGTCAGGGTAATCTGTTTCCCTCTGTTCCCTGTGTTGTGCGAATCATCTTAGTCAGCAGGGAGTGTGTAAGAGTGTGTGTGTGTGTGTGTGTGTGTGTGTGTGTGCTGTGTGATCTTGTGTGTCTCATAATGGTGTCAGAGAGCGAGTCAGTATCTGAGACAGTATCCCATAGAGCACAGCTGTGTGTGTAAAGGGTACAACAGTTTCTGTGTGTATCAAGCATCATCTTTGAAAGCGTATCAAAATGTAATGCTGTATCAGTGATGCGCCCCTGTTTCTATCCTGAAAATCTCTTTTTCAGCCAATCCTAAACATCAAACTATATCAACTAAACATCACCATATCAAATCCAATTTTGAGATTTGTGCATCGTTGTAGTTGTAATATCATACAGCGTATGGACTATTATTAAAGATGTAACAATACAGTATATTAAACTGTATCTCAGCGTATAGTGCTGTATTGATGTATCATGACAGCATGGTAACTTGTGACTAGTTGTTGTAGTAATAATAATAATAATGATAATAATACGTTTTATTTATATAGCACACTTTTTCTCAAGGTGCTTTACAGAAGAATAAACAAAATGAATAAAAAACCATCTAAACGATGAGTCTTAAGATTCTACTTAAAAAGATTCAGAATTTCTTAAAACAAAACACATTTAACCCCTTAAAAGGTCAGGGCCGACTGGCAGGCCCAAAGGTTTATTACACACTTCTATAAGCTAAGAATAGCTTAACCAGTCTGCATTGAACTCCCTGTAGTTACCGAATAATGAGCCTTAGTATGTGATAAGCCTGATAAGAGATTTTAAGGGGTTTAAAGGAAAATTCTTAAGATTCTTCTTAAAACATTCAGAACTTCTAAAACAAAGCAAAATTAATTAAAAAGAAAAGTCTTAAGATTCTTTGAGTAAAGAGACCCAGAATCACTTAAAACAAAACAAAGATGAATTTTAAAAATACATCTGAAAAGTTAGTGTGTTAGCTTTGAGCTAACGTATTAGCTTGTGGCTAGAGCTGTGTGTGTGTGTGTGTGTGTGTGTGTGTGTGTAAGCTGACCCCTGCTCAGTTTTCTTTTCCTCAGATCCGACTGAACCGTCTGTTGTCGATGGACCCGGAGCTGCTGGAGCAGCAGGATGGTGATGTCAGTCCCGACCTGCAGGAGGCGCCGCACGGCCCGCAGGATGCAGCACATGCGCACGCTAATGCACACAAAGCCAAGCAGTACTACCGCCTGTGGCTGCTGCCGTGCGTGTGGATCGGCCTGCACTTCGACAGACTCACTCTGCTCGCGCTGTTCGACAGGTAACATGCAGACACACGGCTGTCTGTCTGCTTCTCTGAGCGTTCCAGTCCAGATTTGACAGCTCGTTCCACATTTCAGCCTCGATTGCTTTTGGAATGAAGTGCAATGCAGGGCAGCCAATCAGCACAGAGTTCAGTCTTAAAGGCACGGCAACAAAAGCAACCTGTCTAACTGTAAGGCAGGGGTTCTCAACCCTTTCCACCCCAAGGCCCACCTGTTTATAGCTATAGAAAAATAAAATCAGCTTTTTTTAAAATGGATTTAAATAGTCCGTTTCAGTTCAATCACAGAAACCAAAATGTGCAGTTATGTTGAAAACATTGCATGTTAAAAAACCTATGTTTGCTTATATCTAAGAGATATATAAGAGGGGGAAAAGAAGAAAAGGTAGATGTAGGTGTGGGCTGTGATTTGGAGCTGCAGTCCATCGTGTTTTCACTGCAAACACTCTTGTGGCTCCCACAGGAGTCACTGTTTGGTCTGGAGTCTCTTCAGTTTTGAGGGTTTTAATGACTCTTTTGAGGTAAACCTCACTGAACTCAGTGGGCTTCTGGATCAGCGTTGCCACGATTAACAATAATAATATGCCTTACTTGATATCGGATATCGAAGTTTATCATTTTGAGTTTAACTCAGGTCGCTAATGCTTGACCAAAAATCAAACACATCTCTTCACTGTTATTTTCAGGCTTGTCTGTTGTTTTTATCAGCAGCAGCTCGAGCTGCAGGAGTGATATGAGAGTCTGTACAGAGTCAGACGTTAAAACGGGCAGATTATACTGATGGTACCGCAGCAAGGTGCTGATAGGTGAAGAAGACAGTAGACTCCCTCGTTTCATAATAAAACGCATCCCATCAGCAGTGAACTGAACAGGGTTCGGTTGGAACCAGACTGAGACCTGCTGGACCGGTTCAGCTGTTTGACGCAGACCTGAATACGGCTAGAATGTTCACACAGGTCAAAACGGAGCGAACTAAGGAAGAAAGTCTGATAGGTTTGCACCAAAGAAGGCAGGAGAAACACCCTGAGGAACCTCGTCATCTCCGGCTAACTGTCTGCGCCGTGCACCAGTGGCTGCACCGTCTCAGACTGATGACGTTTAATTAACCTGCGACTGCGACGCTTTTATTTATACGTCTCTGTTAATGTTTATATTGGTTATAATTTGGAAATGTTTGATTCTTCGATTTTTAATTATTAGGCCTAAGTTAATCTTTTTCCCCTGATGTTTTTGTGACTTGAGGATGCCGTTACCGGCCCACTACAAACTTCTGCCTCCCCCTGAGTTCAGGCCTGCGGACCAGTAGAGGGTGCTTCACAGCCCACTGGTGGTCCGCGGCCCAAAGGTTGAGAAACCCTGCTGTAAGGGATGATGAGAAATTGGAAAATGGTCACATACAAATGAATTATGGCTGGTTTCGCAGTGTCCTCTTCACACTAGACTCGAGTTTTAGATGTGGTGCTTAAAATACTAGCCGCTCATTAGTAATCAATCAGGCACAACTAGAGAAACTTTGGTTTGTGTGGGCGGAGCTGCGGTAAGGAGGCAACAGACTGAACCCAAAAGTGCAAAAATGTCAAAATGACCAAAATTGTTATTTATTTGACAGTAAATAGTAAATTCATGCTAAATCCTATAAACGGATTAAGGAAATAAATTAACAGCCCCTTTAAGTTCTGTGTCATGTGTTTCAGGAACCGTGAGGTTCTAGAGAATGTTCTGGCCGTGGTGTTAGCTGTGCTGGTGGCCTTCCTGGGGTCAGTGCTGCTGGTCCACGGATTCTTCACCGATATCTGGGTCTTTCAGTTCTGCCTCGTCATTGCCAGCTGCCAGTATTCACTATTGAAGGTGAGTCTTACACACACACGCCTGTTTTTATGCAATGTCAGGACCTGAGGTCCTACATATCTGCATTATATACATAGATAAGTATCTAGAATGTGCCACATATGTGATATATAGGCTAGTACCTATGTATAGTAATAACAATGCCTCATTAGCCTCTCACTCTCATACAGTTTCAGAAATAAAGGTACTAAACTGTCACTGGGTGGTTCCCTCTTGTCTCTGGGGTGGAACCCTCAAGGGTCCATCTCAGTACCTTTAGTCAGGGAACATAACTGAACCATAATCCACTGAAATGATATGTTCTAAGCTGTACTGACCCCCCCCCACTTCCCCGTCTCGTCTCCAGGCTTTTATTTTACTGTTCTGATTTAAAACATTCGGTTGATGAATGAAAAATGTGCCTTTATTTCTAACAGTGTACTGCTACATTATGTCTTCTTTCAAGGGAAGTTTTCCACTTTGCTGTTGCTTTATTACTGATATTGCAGCATCATGTATTTTGCTTACATAAGACTTGACATGTTTTGGTGATAAATTCACAGTGGCTTTGGTTTTTATCAAAAGAGCCGTCAGTGGAACAATAAAACTGCCATTTAAAAGCAGTATTTACACAAGACGGCTGCAGTTGGGCCTGGAAAATGTGTTGACGCTGTTTTTAACACTAATCTATCACATTAAAGCGCTATAACCAGGTCAGCTTTGACAGCACCGATGTATTTATGTAAGTAAATGTGTGTGATAATAAATGTGTTGTATGTAAGGACCTTTCCACAGTAAGACTCCCACTAGTGTAGGTGACGTGAAAGACATACACTTTAATATACAGCGCATCTCTTCATCCAGCCGTCTTTAGCACTAATGTAAATCTGCGTTTTCCCCTCAGAGTGTTCAGCCAGACTCCTCTTCACCTCGACATGTAAGTTTCTCCATCACACACACCCTGAGTCTCCAGAGTCAGTGACTAACCCAAGTATGAGTTTGGCCAATGCACATCATGCAAACATTGTTAGCATTTGCTAAATTAGGGTGCTGTAAAAATCAATGGGTGCATTTACATACAATTAATAATCTGATAACTGCAGAAAATCAGACAGTGCCTGTAACTGGTTCAGTGTGTTTACACTTAATAATCTGATAACTGCAGAAAATCAGATTGTGTCAGTAACTGGTTCAGTGTGTTTACACTTAATAATCTGATAACTGCAGATAATCAGATTGTGTCAGTAACTGGTTCAGTGTGTTTACACTTAATAATCTGATAACTGCAGAAATCAGATTGTGTCAGTAACTGGTTCAGTGTGTTTACACTTAATAATCTGATAACTGCCGAAAATCAGATTGTGTCAGTAACTGGTTCAGTGTGTTTTCAGTCTCTTGAGTAATCAGATAA